ACGATATCTCCTCATCCTTACCATACCCACACCTCCTTCAAACTATTCATCTTTTAATGACGTCACACCCATGAAACATGTATACACGATAACGGCTCTAGCCCACACCTTACCATCCATTTCCCTTTGCTTCTTTTCCATCATCTCAGCCACTTCTTCCTCAGTCGCTGTCTGCCCTACCTGAGTTTTCCAAAAAATATCGCGAAATTTCTGCTATTTTTTCCCTAAAATTTCTATCAGCAGCTCTGTGGAACTCAAAACCGAACTATGTTGCTGTTATCCATCTTAGTCCACAACTACTACTACGAACAATTTCATAACTTCAACTTGCCGCTGAATTGCCTCCTATCAAATTGTATACATCACCACGAATTGTCACCAATACACAATCACGTACCCCCGCAGTGGGCTAATATCATCAATGAATTCAATACAGTAGTGTTGTCACTATCATCAATGAATTCAATACAGTAGTGTTGTCACTATCATCAATGAATTCAATACAGTAGTGTTGTCACTATCATCAATGAATTCAATACAGTAGTGTTGTCACTATCATCAATGAATTCAATACAGTAGTGTTGTCACTATCATCAATGAATTCAATACAGTAGTGTTGTCACTATCATCAATGAATTCAATACAGTAGTGTTGTCACTATCATCAATGAATTCAATACAGTAGTGTTGTCACTATCATCAATGAATTCAATACAGTAGTGTTGTCACTATCATCAATGAATTCAATACAGTAGTGTTGTCACTATCATCAATGAATTCAATACAGTAGTGTTGTCACTATCATCAATGAATTCAATACAGTAGTGTTGTCACTATCACCAATGAATTCAATACAGTAGTGTTGTCACTATCATCAATGAATTCAATACAGTAGTGTTGTCACTATCATCAATGAATTCAATACAGTAGTGTTGTCACTATCATCAATGAATTCAATACAGTAGTGTTGTCACTATCATCAATGAATTCAATACAGTAGTGTTGTCACTATCATCAATGAATTCAATACAGTAGTGTTGTCACTATCATCAATGAATTCAATACAGTAGTGTATACCCCCTTCCCTCCCCTTCTCACCATAGCCTCTAACCCCGCCTCCCGTTCCTCAGCCAACTTTTTCTCCATCGTCTCCTCAAGTGCCATCTTAGCCTAGCGACAAACACTCATCATCATCATCATCATAATAATAATAATGATAATCACCTCCAATAATTTGCCATAGTCCTCTTCACGAGCCCTCAACTTTTCCAATGCCTCTGCTAGAGATTTCTCAAGATCAGAGCATCTACAACAATGACATAACAAGGAAATGTGGTACATTGGAGTTTCACAACAACAACCCCTTTTACACGGAGTGATCTCATATTCTGTGAAAACGCCGATATTCAACGCGGTGAAATGCAGTAGTCGTGGAATATACTTATCACTATTGGTTTTCACATCACTACTAGTGATATGAAGCTTCGTTATCACCCATCCGTTCTGCAATACATTATCAGCTATCATCTACACCTAGATTGACGATACAAACTATGCCCTTTTCAACAGCTACCCAGAAATATAGCAAAACTTCTATACTGTTATTCATCTATTGGAGTTTCACTCGTTTTACGTGAAGTGGTGTAACGCCATCTATGAAGTGAATTGAAAATACTTAGCGTTGAATATCACCGAAAGATTACACCAACATTCACTGCACACATGCGATCTTCACCAAGGGAAATGTGACATATGTTTTTCATATCACTAAGGTCGTGAAACTCCATACTACTCTCATAATACATTATCCCAACACCAACCGTTCGCTACTCATACAAACATTTATTCACTTCACACACTGCGATTCTCTGTATCGTCGTCCTCACTGTGGACTTACTGTCCCACATAGTAGAGTAGATGAGAGTAGGAAGAGCGAATGCAAGTACAGTGGAGTTTCACCGCTGGCCGCCCCAGTGATATTAGAAAAAAACAACAACACTAGTGAAAAACATATTTCACGACTACTGCATATCACCACGTTTTTCGCTTCACGTAAAACGGTTCGTAAAACTCATATAAATATACAATTCCTCTCTACATCGTCTCCCCACTAAACATTACCTTTTCTCACTAGTTTCCAGTTCCCTCCTAATCTCCATCACACCAACTTCCATAACCTCCTCTTCCTCCTGCCTCTCCTCCACCACCACCACACGTGCCCTGCTTTCCTCCACTTCTGCTGCTGCTGCTGTACGCATCGTGCTGCTGTCCAACATCATCATCTTCTCCTCCAACTCGTGTATCTACAACAGCGGTATTCTCTAAGGCTAGAAAAGTATATAAACACCTCACGTTTTCAATGGAGTGGGTTTTCATTTTTTCCTCAAAAACGCTTTAATTTTCATAAGCGTTTTCTCCCCTATATCGAGATCTCCAATTTCAACAGTGTTGGAGTAGGAATACATGTAATCGCTTTCCTCAGCTGCTGAGCTCAGGAGTTTCCTATACAGTGTTGGAGTAGGAATATATGTGATCGCTTTCCTCAGCAGCTGAGTTCAGGCGTTTCCTATACAGTGTTGGAGTAGGAATATATGTATTTGCTTTCCTCAACAGCTGAGTTCAGAAGTTTCCAACACTTATTGCAGGAGTTTATATACGACAACTCCTCAAATGTTCCTCCCAGAATTTTCATCATCACGTGCAGTTGACAATGTGCATATTTTCCCACACAGAATATTCATCAGTTTACTAAGCACTTCATATCGACTATTACCTTTTCCCGCCATCTCATCTCTTCCTCTTTCCTCAACTCCTCCATCCTCGCATTCATACTACTACGCTCCTCCTGAAAATATAATAAAAATTGATACTCATACCGTACCTTTACCAAATTAAAAAAACGATATATTTATTTCATTGATAATGGAAAGTATGCACATGGTCAACTGCATGTGTTGGTGACAATATGCTTTCTCTATAGTTTTACCCAACATTCTATGAATGTAAACTCCTACCAAACTCAGCTGAGGAAAGCAAACGCATCCTTAAAGACTTCATAATTCTCTCGAGAATATAACAAAAAACCAATACCAAAACAACACTCATACTACTCTACGGAGCCTTTCTATACGCTTTCATCGATTCTCACATACATACGTATATACGGGTTCCTCAGCTGCTATGGCCCCGGGCAGCAGCATCAACATCATCGACAGTGTATATGGAGTGATCCACACAATGGGGTTAGTTCCTCCTCCTCCTCACTTTTAATGCTCGAGCCACTGCTAGTTGTACTTCTCTATCGATCCGACTTTGAATATACTCACTCATAACCTCGGGGTACATCTGACCATACAACCATCAACTACCGTGAGAACCGCCGCACCGCGCTACTACTACTACTACTACTACTACTAGAGGAACACGACGATCAACACTATCAAACAACCACTTACTTCAGCTAAGACCTTGAGGACCTCAGAAGGAGGGTATTTGCCACATAACTCAGCGACCTCCTTTTCTAACGATGGTGGAGGCGTTGGCACATCCACAGCTGACGAACTCCTGACAACGACACGACGTATCTTAGGTTCATCATGAAAAGATTCAAAGTAGGTCCACCTGAGTGCCTCTCGTCTGGCCTCCTCCTCTTCCTGCATTTTCCTCAACTTCTCGCCTGCCAACCAAATGAATACTACTACTACCTTCCACCAGAGAAAATGCGGATTAAAAATTGTGGCATCCAGTTCCAATGAAGAAAGAGTTCAAATTATTCAAATTCCCCCCCCCCCCCGAAAGAAAATACGCTTTTCCTTTCCTCAAGCGCTTACGTAATCCATCTCTCGCTATTATACTTT